TTTGTTAAGTACAGGTTTATGTACTAACCATTGTCGCAGTGTTTTCGAGGAACTTAAAAATTCTAATGTGAACGAAAACAACGTTCTAAACCTACTAATCTACTACATTATTGATCATTAGTTATGACTGTTATCCCTAATCGGCAGCATATGCCGACCAGATAACTTCAAAATTTTTTGTCTTCTTTCCAGTCTTTCCCAAGTGATACTCACTCCTCTGATGTCTGACTCCGATTCTCAGAGCGACATTTTTCTTTGCTTGCCTCTTCCCGCTTTTCTTGAGGATTCCAAGCTAGGACTTAACTCGATGCAGTTTGATTTTCGTACGGTGTGACCTATCCGTCTCGAGCGTCCCTTCCTAATTTCCTGCTCACATGGAAGCCGTTCTGTTCGCTGACACACTGGGTTATTCCTCATGGTGTCTGGCTAATAGATATGGAGTATTTTGCCTAGACAGCGGTTTATAAAAACCTGTCACTTTTTGATGATGGTTGTAGTAATTCTCCGAGTTCTAGCTCCTCACAATGAAGCTTTCAACGTTCTTATTAAAAATTCTGACTGGAATGCGTTTATGAGCTGTCCTCCAGACACAACTTCACAGTTCCGTCCCTCATAAGATTTCCACATTATGGTGACAGTCTTGTCAGCTACTCCATAATGTTGTGAGAGGTTCCGCGAAACTTTCCTATCTACACTGTCGGATGCTTTCTTATAGCCGAAGAGGTTGATGTATAGTGACGAGCTTTATTTAGTCGGTTGCTTGGCAATTTCCCAAAGTGTCGCAATTTGGTCGGCACATGATCGACCCATACGAAATCCGTCTTGTTGATCATGAAGTTGGGCGTCCATTAAATTTTCCACTTGGTCCGGTAACACTGGTGGAAACTTTCTCTTGTACTGATAGTAGTGTGATGCCTCCATAGTTCTCACACTTGATTGAATTTCCCTTCTTTGGTATCTTGGTCAGATATCCTTCATTTCGGTTAGTTGGTAATTATTTCTCCTCCTAAATCTTTCCAAACAGGAAGTTAGGCACCTCTGCAGTTACCTCTTTATTCGATTTCAATGCATTGGCTTGTGTAGTTTCTGGTTCTGTTGTTCCTTCATTCTTGATTTGTTTAATTATCTTGCTGATTTTTTCTGTTGTTGGCGCGTTAACACCCATAAAAATGTCTGTATGGGTTACTTTGATATTTTGTGGGATTTTAAAGATGGTCTATTTGAGTACTTTTTCCATCTGTCCTTCTGTCCTTGGGTCTCATTGATCGGTTTACCATTGTTGTCCATTGTGATCTCTCTGATTCTCCATATTTTTTGTGTTAGCTTCTCTGTATCATATGGTTTTCTATTAATGTCTTCTCTTACAGGTTTTTCTGCCGCAACTTTCTGGTTCTCTAAATACTTTCGCTTGTTAGATCTAAAGCAATTCTTCACTTGTTTGTCCATGTTTATATATTCAGCTTGTGCCTTGAATTTCTTTATTTTTGTTTGGCTGTTATTGATTGTTGTTTTTCGTTTTTTGTTTCTTGGATCTTGTCCAAGGTATCAGTAGAGATCTTTATTGATAATTGTCTGTACTCTAATAGATAACACCCAAGTTTTAGTCCATAACACGCAATTTAGCATCGTTCAAGGCTTAGGTATTAAAAGACACTACAAGTTTACGCGTAAACTCTCTTTAAGACAAAAATTTGTGCGCTTTGTAATTGCCCATCAACTGACTTCTACTTATAGGCTCGGTTCGATACTTTCAAATTAATGATGTTGAAGGGACTTATAATTTGTCTCTTCTTGGTCGCTCCTACTAATTAATCTTTTGTTCTTCCAAGTTTGTGCGATCAGTGTGTAGGTTAATATTTTTCCATACCCAAGAAGTATCTTTTACACTTCAGATGCAAATTTAAATTACAGTTTTATGTTTCTTCCGTATGATGTTTAAGTCGTGCACTTCTGAGTTATTAATGTAAGCTGCCTAAATTTATTTAGTTTGTACTAGAACTTGAATTTTCGAACCACTGATGATATTAAAAAGAAAGCTTGTGATTATTCAACATACAAATAGTATCATTACCTTTGTTTACCTAATAAGGTGTGCTAAAGATACTGGATGCCTTTGCTACAGTTGGAACACTAAAACAACGCTCTCAAGAGTAACACTAACGAAGCCTATGAGTTTCCGAAAATCTCGTGCAGAAAGCCGAACTTGCCTTCTGCATGCGTATTAATGCTTTTCACTTCGTTCATACCAGTACCTTTCTTACAGGTGAGGAGCAAATTAGTTTAATCTGACAACTATATCAGTTATTTCAAAACCTGAATTGACTCTAATAATATAGTCCCCAGCAAAATTTCAGCATTACAAAGGTTTAACCGGCTTCCATCAGTTCCCACGTATGTTGTGGATATGATGTTCAGCTGTGTACCAGCAGGCGGATATGTGGCTCCACAGGTCTTTCACTTGTTATATGGCTGTTATATATAGTCATCAATGGTACCACGAGTTTTCAGTAACAAGTACAGTGATGAAACCATCAGGTAAACTGTCGTAAATGCAAAGATTTAAACAAATGGACTGTAATTTAAGTAAAAGTCCGGAATTTCATTTCCTTAGTTCAGGCAACTAAGTCATAACTAACTTTTAAGTAAAGTGTGATTCAAAGCTAAATATATGGACCTGAACTTATTCGCTGAACAACGTCACTATTAGATGAGCTGATCAGATTACGAATCTCCACCCATTTGAGCCATAATATTGTCTTAAGTGGAACTATTATTAAAGAAAACCAAGTACTTGAGTTAGCACGTGGTCGCACATAGTTTTTCAAGATTGTGGTAGTTGGTAACTATTTCTCATAGTTTACATTCCAATTGTTTCCCATATTTCCGAGTGTATGCTCCTCATTTCGATTTTCTCTCACTGTACTGATATAGAGTGTGGAACCTTGGACCTATTTATCTTTTTAAGGTAGTGAGTTGGAGTCAAACAAGAGCTTCAGTTACCTTAGTGGGTTTTTTAACGTTTCCCTTTATTTGCAATCTCCAACTTGGTTTGACAATAAACAGGAAGAAAAGATTTAGATTGAGAGTGTACAAAAGTAAGAAAACAACCGTTTGCATAAGAAAGTCAGTCAGTCAGTCAGTTACAACGTAGGACCAGGCACATATATGCATCGGTCCAAGTTGCCATACCTCGTTAGTAAAACAAGATGAACACCGGATTCATAGAAGTAGTTAATTTAGTGGTGGTAGTATATAAAGAAAGATTGTATATAAGGATATAGTATCGGAAGGAAAAAAGTTATGAAGCAATTTTAATCTCAAGGTTTAAGGGAAGTTAAAGAGTGTATACACCTACGCCATTGCATAAAAAAGGGAGTGGAAACTTTTAACATATATATTATTGGTTGCGATAAAAATGTCTTAGTTATTTCTAAATGTCAACGAGCACTGGTTGATTAAAAAAGATCATTCTCTGACTAGACACATGAGGTCCATTAGTTAAAAGTTGGTCTTCCCAACATGTTACACGTACGAAGTAAGGTCTGTCACCTTGTGAAATTAGTATGTATTATTCGGAAAACTAAGTGAAAATTACTTAATAACATCTGAAAGTCTCGCGCAGACATCTTATATGCTGGGGTGTCGCCATTTTGAAGCTATTTATATTATATTCATGAAAAAGATTTATCAGTCTGTCCGTTGATAGACGACTTCATTTGCTTCCTTGAATTGTTGTTCCTTATTGTAACATAATGACTTTATTTTTGTGTTCCTCATGTCAGCATTAGACATACCAGTTCATAGGCTTAGAACAGTCTTCAAATTTCTCTTTCTGAAAGTAGGAAAGTGATTAGTCTATATCCAGTTTTTCATTTCCTAATTTGGGTAATAAATGAGGTATCTATTTGTAAATTTATGTCAAAGTTATGGTAGTTACTGCCACAAGACAAACTGTCAATCACTCACTAGTTTAGTGGTTTAATAGAGACTTCTTTAATATTATGAACGTATTTCAGATCTTTCTTAAATAGTCTCATGCTACAGGCCCTCACCAACTACGTTGATGTCTATTTTGTGCAGTAAACGTGAATACATTCTTTTTTCTAATTTGTTAATTCTTTAACATCCGTTTGAGATGAAGTGCTTGCTTTTTTCACCATATTTAGGTTGTAAATGCTTTTTAAACTGCCGTATATCTGTGGTCAGGGTAAAAATTATTTTTAATGGCAATAATTGTAATAGTAGCCTGTTATTCATTCTTCGATAACTTTATAGCATTCTTCTATGATTGGTTAATAAAATAGTATATTTTTATGTATTATGTGATTGACTTTGACTGAAACATTTCTACCTATCAAATGTGTTGTTAAATTTATGTCTAGCCACATACTAAAAACTTTATTAGAATGTAGAAGAAAAAGTTTCATTTTATCTAAGTTTTATGTTAAAAAAAACCTAATTATTATCGAAGTTCACATAATTTATGTCTCACGTTTGTTAGCTTACGTCGTATATTCTTTCGCCATTTTCATGTTTCGTTTTTTGCAGCTTATGGATTGTACTCAAAACCTTCTGTTATGCATCTGTCTTTCTTAGAAAAGGATTTACTTTATCGTCTTTTAATTGATAGAGAGTTTGACTTAAAAGTTTATTTGACTAGTTTTAGAAAATCTTAATGACTCTATTAAATAAAACACTACTAGTATTTTAAATTGAAATTTTACTGTAGTTGGGAACCACCAATATTGTGTTGTCATATCAAGTTGTTTCATTTTTCTAAATTGTTTCTTTTTAGTTGTTTAAATGTCAATTGTGTTTTTAATGCATGCATGCATACTTTCAATAAAATATATAATTGAAAATGTTCTCGTGTACAACGGATATCTGCTAATGGCATATGAAACATATATTAATCCATCAATATTTAGTACATAGTTTGAAGGAAATATATTAAATATACTGTACAGTAAACTATTATAATACTCGAGTGATTTACCTGTATGCTTCTTATTGTTAATTTGTCCAATTCATCATCGTTTTATTCTCAAATCACGGTGTATAACTATTTTTCTAATTGTTTACTATCAACAATTCGAAGATCACGTCTGTTAAACACTAAATATCAATCTATAGCATCCACGTTGTATTTTACTGTTGAAATTATTATTTTTACTAATTTTGGTAAGTTATATATTTATTATTTTAATCATAAGTAGTAGTGATAATTTTGTATAAATTGAGCATTGGGTATATTGTTATAAATAAATAATGTATTTGTAATATCCCAATGAGTAGGAAAATTAGATTTCCTAACGTTTCGTAACTCAGTGTAAGCTACTTCTTCAAAGAAACGTCAGAAAGTCTAATTTTTCTACTCATTGAGATATTATAAATATATTATTTATTTATAAGTAATAGTGGTTTTTTTCCATGACATTTTACAGTGTACTTGTTAACAATCAACAATTGTAAGTGGAAAAAATCCACTTCTCTGTAGAACTGACCAGTTCAGAGCCAAATAAGTAAAAAAAACCCAACACAGTAGCAATCTGCTTGTGATAGTAAACGATATTGGTGAGATATCAAAGTGTTTCATGTTAAAAATTCTGGTTAATAAATTTTGACTCATTTCTTTAATAATTTGGCATGGTCATAATGATAATATTAATAATAGTAATATATTTTTAGGGTGATAACAAAATTCAAGCCGCTTTACAGACATGATCAGGTTGATACAGAAGCAGAGAAAACGTTGATGCTATTTAAACATAATCAACACAAATTATTTTGACTGAATAATTGTGACGTGGTAGTTATGAAGGTAAAGTAAAAGGTGCATTAAAAAAGCTTTCTCAGAGGTGACATCATCTTAAAGTACACCTATCACTGATGGATTGGACACTGTAAAAGTCAAGTCTTGCAGGTGTAGAATTATCATTGTTAACTAGTGTGTGTAAAAAGCATAGATACGCTGAGAAGTAGCATAACTATAATGTATTATGTGTTTTGGAATGTTAGATGCCACATTTTAGCCTCAGAAAATAAACAGTTCGATCACTTTGGTTCAATTTGGTTTCTTTTCGTACCGCCTTCGTGATCACTATAAAATGGCGTCCATTCTTGGTGTTTGGGGCTCATTTAAATTTTATATAGATCTAAAAAAATAGGAATTTTTTCATTTCATTACCTGTTAGTTTATATAGTGCATTGTGTAGAAAACTATAAATCCTTAGTAAAATCGATATTAATATCCATTTTGACTGTCTAGTAATCGATAGTCTAAAGAAGCATATGCTTCCTAGTCAAAGTTAATTTTCACCATGTATACAGAAGCACATTTTTAGCATGGTTTCTAAAGGGCGATAGAGAAGCAGCCAAGAGTTCGACTTGTAAGCAATAATAAACCTTGATCATTCAACTAAGCCGCATAATGACTTGAGAATTGTGTATAAGACTTGTCTTACTTTTTTACAATTTCCTAATTCCCAGCTCGTTAAAATAGCAAGATCTTCGGGTGTCCTTGAGGAAAAATCTGGCCTCTGTGTACTGACAAAATATGTTTTCTCTCATTTTTATATTATTTTAATTTCATATTCCCTTTCCTTAAGTCACTTTTCGTATTCGTTTGATTTTTTCATTTTGAACCTTAACATCTTGCTTTTTTTGATGAAACAGCAATATTTATTTTGATTAGTTTATCCTATCCACAGTATGATCCATTGTTAGTTTCTTCTACACCCTCCTTAATTACGTATATCTTGTAGATATTGTCCAACCCTTATTATTATAATTTGCACTATGCTACTTAACGTCATTACCCTAATTGCTGGATTATCATGATTATTATCTGCTTACACTCCCCCATAGAATCGACACTTCGACTCTCTCTCTCTCTCTCTCTCTATATATATATATATATATATATATATATATATATATATATATAATCAGCATATCTACAGAATATATGCGTACATATATAGATGAATCGTATCAATAAATATGTACTTATATATATATATATATATATATATATATATATATATATATATGTAAAAAATCCTGACCTAATTTTGGTTGGATTTTCTAGGTTTCACTAATGCACTTACAGTTTACAAACAATATTATTTGGTGCGATAGTACTAACAAATGCTAGAAAAAATAAATTATTCTTTTCTCTATGGAAAAATAACTCGGAATGCATATCGTGATAGAAAAAAATATGGTGATTGACATTCATCGGTTTGATACAAAATCGTCATTCTTGGGGGCTGTCGTCCCAATTTCAAATTCTTACTGTTATTTCTAATTAGTGATTGAATTGTAAGTGGCTACTACAATGGATGATGATGACCAGTCAATTTTTCAAAGGGTTAGTGATTAGTTGATTGATTATGGGGGTGTGTTTATTTTTTCTGAATAGATTTTCCTCTTTATTATTTTGTAATTTTGCATCGATTTGGTGAATATATTTTATTGATATTGTTGTCAATTATTACTACAGTTGAGTTTAAGATTTTAATTAATTTAAGTTTTTTCGTAATGAAGTACCATACTGTGAAAATTTACTTAGACGTTTAGAGCAACTTATAACAATTATTTCGGTTTAAAACGTCCAACTCTAAGTCTTGAACAGAGTTATAGTTTCTAGGTTTAGTCAATTAGATGCTGGTGTTTGATAGATTCTTCACTTCACTAATAGAACTTAAAAAATCCTATGTTTTGTTAGGACAGTAAATAGTAATGTTTTTACCATCCAAATAGTTGATTTTTGACGTTCGTAACTTGAAAATTATTAAAATAAGATAATACAGCTCTCTCTAGTCTTCATTAGTTTTCAGTCGTTCTTCATTTTACCAACGAAATGATATCTATTCACATCATATATTATCGTAATTATTGAAAATTAAAATCATATAGCATATCAGAAATGCGATATGGTAAAGTTTATCATGAAGTTTCTTCAAAAAGTCACCAAGTGCTGTTCTGGTCCACTATCCTTCTACTTGATACTGTAGCACAGAGACTTAAGTCGTAACTCTAAAGACGAAATTCCACAAATAATGGCATAAGTTGGTGCACAGTTACGGTATTCCAGTATGTATCATACAATAATTACAATTATTAAAAATAAAAATGAAATTCAGTAACACTGTGAAGGTGTATTGGCAAGTTATGCATGAATTTCGCTTAAAATGCTCTCGTGAGCAATAATAATGATAGTAATCAGTCTTCAAACGTATCCTTATTGATTACAGACTTATAATTGTGTAGTAACTCTTTTTTTACTAAGTACACGTCTGTTAATCCAATTGGGAGCTACATTATTTGTGGCATAATGATACTACACGGTTACCCATAATGAAGTTGGTAAAATTGAGGTTCGAAACAGTAACCTATTGGTTGAAAAATATTGTTTTATCTATTGAACGACTACTTCAAATTTATGGCAATAGAATGTCTTTATTGTCTAGACTTCGAATCTTTAGATTGATCGATTTTTTAATCTAAATTGAAATATTCATGATGTATTTTAACTTGATCTCGAAAAATTCCCCCATTCAGAACTTCATCATCGAATAAGGAATAACTCGATCATGAGTTTCATTTACTTGGAAACAATATCAGTTAGAAATGTTCTCTTCATAAATAATTCACTATAAAAATATGCATACAAGTAAATAAAAAAATTTTTAGGAAAAGAAATCAAAATTATTGGTAATATGGTCATCATTTTCACTTACTTTGTTCATTTCCTACTACTAGTTCCATAAAATGTATATATTCACATAGAGTTTCAGTGTGTAAGCTGATTAAGTATATATATTTCCACCTTCATAGATTTTACTCCATTTTATTTACTGCTTATTACATTCATATTCTTTCTGCAACCATCTTGCCTATCATATGTTGTTTGTTCATTTTTCTTTATTACAATATTTTTTTATCCATTTCACAATTTCGTCCTAAATTCGAAAATTGTCGCCTGTTTTCTCTATTAATAATTACAGGTTCTTAACATACACACATCATAATATCAACTGTGTAGTTTATTTACAGTAGAATTTGATACATGTGATTGTAGTCTGTGAATTAGTCAAAGTGAATTTTTCCCAGATTAAATGTTGACCAATTTACAAGATTATCGTCATTCAGACAAAAAAATGTTTTATTGTGTTTATTTTGTTTTTTTTCTTCAAAGGTATATTGAGATTTATCAAATCATTTCCAACTTACTGAAATAAGTTTGTTACTGTTTCATATAACTTAAGCTCTATTAAGAAACTGAGTCTGTAAATATCTGTGTTTGGAGAAACATATAAGTTGCCCCCAAATGCCCTGTTACGAACGAGGGTGGGGAAGGCCCGCTCTCCCTCTCAAAATGCCCTCACACAGCCACGCCTATATAGCCTCTGCTAGGAAAGTTGTACTCACTGTCTTCTCGTGGCAGTACTGGTGTTTACGGAATTTGAGAGGACGAGAAGCGAATATCTGGTACTTCAACCGGGTTGGTGGACACAGAGAGTTCACCTAAAGGAGTTGGAAAACCCTGATTCCAAAGCAATGGTGCACATAGGCTTCAGGATCCTGATGGAGAAAATGTCGTATGAACCAATCGTTGGTCACCGGCTACCATAGGACTGCATTTCCCTACGTTGCTCCACTGCCTTGTGGATCGGGCCTTTAGGTCAAAGGCTCCGGGTGTGGCTACTTAAAATAATCACCTGCTTAGGTCCAGGCACCCGGGCAGTATTCCAGCTCTCATGCAAATCGGGTGACTTGTGTGACGCATATGTATTCGGTGCCCCTTCGTACTAATATTTATGTGTTCAAATAAATAAAAAAAGAGAACTATACTATAGTTTATGTTATATTTAACTATCTTTGAGTGTATTCGAGTATATGTTGTGACTAAAAATAGGTCTAATAATGTATTTGTAAAGACTAAATTGTATTTGACCGCATTTCACATTATATGCCATTGATTGTGTAACTGCCGTTTCAATTATATGCTTATCATTAGTTAACTTTAACTTTCATTGTTCATTTGGTTTCTACACAGGTATTCTGGTGTATCTATCAGAAACGATGTCATGATTCTTCTGGCCAAAAGGAATCAGAAATTACAGTGGATACAGAAAAAATAGTACCTATAGACAAATCTTCTTCTACAGTACAACAAAATTATGCTTCATTAACCAATGCTGAAAATTTAGATAACCTTACCAATAATAAAACTTCACTGATTGGATTTTTAAAAATTTGCGGCATTTCTACTGATTGTTGCCCAATACAACTGCATACAAAAACTCCTGACAATACTGTTCGGTTGAATTCACCTAGTAAACAATATGGTACAAATTCATTGGATGGTACTGTTGATTCAATTCAAGAATCGAAGAATTTGGAAGCTGTTGTAAAAAAGTCTCCCGTATCACTTTCTCCATCAATCGCTAATCGTCGACATTTGACACCTCCTCCACATTTACTTACTTCTTCATTCATGGCGACAAGTCCACCAGTTGAAACTCAGTTGTATCATATTCAACCTAAAGAATATGTATTTAATCAAGCATGTAAACCAATGCCTAGTTCACTTATGTTACAGAATAATAGTTTGGGCACATTCACACTTACTCCAACACAACTTTTGCACAGTCCACTGATATTAAATACATCAGCTGATGTTTTACATTCTCATTGTACACCGTGCGAATCACAATCTGCACCTTGTAGTCAAACTTTAATCACAGCACAACCGCTACCTTTATTAAACTCACCCTATAATCATGTTACCTGTCTTAATTCAGATACAGTTACTCAGGAATTAAATCAATCGTCATGTACTAACACTACTAGTTGTACTGGTGGTAGTACACAAGTCCCGAAAACCTATCCAGGCATTGGATTCACTGCGAGTCGTCGAGCACGATCCAAAGGTCTTTTAGAAAGGTAAATAGGTTTTGTTAAACCTTATCATTATTCAAGACTTTTTTATGTGATTATTATTCCAATTGAATAAAATAATATAGAGTTCGTTTAGCTAAAGTGACGGACCTTATTCCGACTACATTTAGTTGAAAAGTTAGCTAGTGTTATTAGTCATTACACAACAATGTTGTTGTAATCCTAGGAACTACTTAGTTAAACTTCAATAAAGAGATTGAAAATAAGTTTGCTAGTTGTAAAATGTTTTTTTTCTTTAGTTCGTGTAGTTGGAAGCCAACCAGTTAAATGTTTAGTCGAAATCCATTACTATGGTAGTCACTTTATAGGACACAATATTTATTGATGAGATTGTAAATCTCCGACGATCGAGGCGGCTGATGCATGTGTTATAGATGCTCAACCATAATCTTCGTCGACGAACAATGCTGACAAAACAAGTAGGGGCGGTCAAACTAAAATGTTGCATCAGTGCATGAATTAACTGTTTTGATAGATGGAGACTACTTGGTTATAAAGTCCAAGCGATAACCATGATCAGTAGTTTAAGAAGTTAGGTGACATCACCTGGAATCAGCTGCAGTGACTCAGTTGCATTCATCATCTATCTTCTACTAGATCTTGTTTCATTTTTCTCTCATGCATACCTTACATTCAAACCATATCTTCAGTGTTTAATCCTTTTCATCTCTGACACTACTTACTGGTTTTTCGATTCCTTCAATATTAATCTTGCCAATTTCATCCCATTGTGCTAATTCGGTATGGTGATGTGAGCTAATGCATATTTTCGTCACTAGATTTTATATTAATTATGACTTGCTGGTATTTCTGGGTTTTTATCATGTGATATCCAATCAAATATCTTCATCAGTGTAGTTTGACATCAATGTCCTTTGTCATATATGAGAAGCTGACTTGTTTTCTATCAAACACTAGATTACAATTCTGCTTTTAATGTAGAAATTAACACGATTGTTATTTCAAACGATTTCTTATTGATTACTTTGAATCTTGGTGACATGTACATCGTATCTTTTATTTTGATCGACTGGTATAAAAATGAGGGTTTTATTTCTGTCTTATCGTCATTAGAGACATAAACATATCAAGATATAGATCAGAAGGGGTTTTTGTGGATATTTCAATATTTTCATAGTTAAAACCATGAGGAGGAGTCCCATAATAGGACGAAACGGCCGTCCAGTGCTTCCAGGTTTTCCATGGTGGTCTAGTTTCAATTGACTCATGATTTCAACTATGAAAATATCAAGATATATTCTTAGGAAAATAACTACTTACGGATTATCTTTTTTTTATTCTATATATTTTTCTTTCAAGCACCTTGAAAGTAAATCATTTTTAAAAATTGAATTATTTAACTTTTTTTATTGCTAATGAAAAAAAGAATACTTGATTCATAATATTTTTACAAATAATGTACGTTTAATTGAATTTCAAGAGGAATAACGAGCTGATTAGGACGACACTGAGTAGGAAAGTTTCTAAGGTTAAACTCGTTTCCGTACATACCGCTAGATCTTCACCGAATCAGCTAAAAGTAAACTAACATTCCTCTAGAGTCACTCTCCAATCACAATTACAAGTTAGTGTGGATTCTTGGAAGGAATGAGTTGAGGATTTTTTAAAGATATCTTTCACAAATCCTCTTGCTGAAAGGAAGTAGCTTCTAGTGGTCAACTTCCTGGTACTTGGTGTAACACAGATGTACTTATGTACCTCTTAAAATCTATAAACTAGTATATAAACAAAGAACATCGAGTTCATTTTGGCTTTGGTTTCATGAATTGAAAAGTGTGCTTAAACATGAGCTAGCATGTAATTCTGCCGAAGACATTGGTACTAGATCATTTGTTTGATTTATAAGGTCTGTGAATTCAATTTGAGCGGGTATATAGTTAAATTTATCAGATTGCTTTCAATAATCCATACATATCAACACTGTTTAAATAAATTATTATTATTTATTTATTTGAACACATAAATATTAGTACGAAGGGGCACCGAATACATATGCGTCACACAAGTCACCCGATTTGCATGAGAGCTGGAATACTGCCCGGGTGCCTGGACCTAAGCAGGTGATTATTTTAAGTAGCCACACCCGGAGCCTTTGACCTAAAGGCCCGATCCACAAGGCAGTGGAGCAACGTAGGGAAATGCAGTCCTATGGTAGCCGGTGACCAACGATTGGTTCATACGACATTTTCTCCATCAGGATCCTGAAGCCTATGTGCACCATTGCTTTGGAATCAGGGTTTTCCAACTCCTTTAGGTGAACTCTCTGTGTCCACCAACCCGGTTGAAGTACCAGATATTCGCTTCTCGTCCTCTCAAATTCCGTAAACACCAGTACTGCCACGAGAAGACAGTGAGTACAACTTTCCTAGCAGAGGCTATATAGGCGTGGCTGTGTGAGGGCATTTTGAGAGGGAGAGCGGGCCTTCCCCACCCTCGTTCGTAACAGGGCATTTGGGAACGTTCAAATGAATAGTATATTCGCAACAACTAAAACTTATCCAAGAGAACTAGAGCATTTTACTAATTCGTCCAAATAAAGTATAAAATTGATTAATATTCAGTTGTTTTTTTTATACCCAATTCTTAAACCACCCTTTCTCTCACACATTTCCGCTCATTTGTCTCTCCTAATTATATGAACTATCCAAATCTTATTCAACTATTACGTAACCCACCCTAATTGTTTTCAACTACCTCTATAAATTATTCAATTATTACGTAACCCACCCTAATTGTTTTCAACTACCTCTAAAATAATCACATTTTTGATTTTATCTGTCTCTGAACTCCACTCAACTATTACGCCTCCCTTTATTTCAATACCTAATAACTTCTGACCTTTCCTTGCCCATATATATAGTTATCATCGATGACTTTCGTTATTCCAATCCTCTACATTCAATTATGTCAATTGTTCCACATTATTTATTACTCCAATGATAAAACTCTAATGCATATTTGGTTGTAAGCAGCTGATGAGAAACCACGAAATATAATGAATTCATATTATTCTGCATCAATATTTGTTCTATCTTTATTTAAACGATATATTGTCTAGTAATAGTCAATTTTCAAAATTTGATAGAGAAAGCAATAAAATAGAGGTTATCGAACTATAAATTATTGAAATCTTGAGAGGAATATCGAATAGTTCTCTAGTCTCACTTAAACAACTTGATAGACAGAAAATTTCGGGCTTTATAATACCCAGGCTATATAGAATAACTAGGATAGATAAGTCCCGAATACCCATTGATTCTATTCTAGACATAGCTGGATTATTTTATAGCTCAGTTGCTAAAGTAAGTAACTCAAAGGCTTGAAGGAATTTGATAATATGCTTGTTAATGATACTCTCACTTACTCTGTTTAACTTAATGACTGTAATTCCTTTTTCATATATATATATAGAAAGTAGACTTATTGAGGTCTCCCTCGCTGAACTAATCATTTCATTGATATTATTCCTAAATGTGGTACCATGTCTTTACGATTAACAGAGTTTACTCATTTATTTCTTTGTGGATTGAGTGTAGAAATCGCTAGTTATATTTTTACGGTATGCTTTGCTTTAATTATCCGTTTTTGTTATTGATTATTCCTCGCTCATTATTTTGAACTATTTCGATTCCCTATTGTGCATTGGACAAATTTTCCACCAGAAAGAGTTACAACTGAAAGTTTCTACTTTATTCTCTTTACTTGTACATGTATTGATAAAATCGTATTCTTGGTAGTCTTTGAGAAGTCTTTATTTCTTCCCTGGATTTTTAAATTGAAATAAATAATATTTTTTTCTCACTTAACTTCAGTACCTTGATATTAGTGAATGTACTTAAAAATCCTTTTAAATCATATTTGAATATATCTATTGAATACTAGTGATCAACTGTTAACAAGAAATCAGGCTATCATTTCTCATTTTATTATTGTTATCTATCAATTCTTTCTTTAATTAAGTAGATAATCTCGATAACATTTTTTAAATTCATATTTTCACAATGGAACTTACCTACAAATTAACAAGTCTCTGTATCTACATCGACTAGTTTGCAGAATCTTTTACTAATTTAGCAAGTGATTTGCCATCTATTTGTAAGTAGATTTACTTTAAAGTAATCATTTTTACATAGAAATTTGATATGGATTAACATGACGCTTATATGCTTTCGGCAGATAACTGTTCATGATTATATGTTACTTACACAATAAATGAAACTGGTGGTGTGCCAAATTTTTGCTCCTAATTATTAAGTAACGGTTTATATTACTAGTAAGTGAGTCATCTGAATAACTACCTAAGTACATGATTAGATGCTCGGCTTCGATACACACTTTGTTTGAGCATTAGTGATACTATATGACTGCCGAAAACTATTTACAAATAGCATTTCTGACATATTTTGTTAGACTTTTTTAAATATGACTTCCATTTTTGCTGTTAAGATACCTTTTTATACTTCCAGAATTTTTAGATTTTTCTTTGTTCGCCTTTCACAAACATTAATCAGAGTTTAAAGCGGTCGTCTTAAGGTCATGAATTACATTGTTTTCTTTGATTACCATACTAAATTAGGTCAAATACATGGTTTTCCTTTGTTTTACGAAGTTAGCAATATTTATGTGGTGACATTTGTTAACCTACGAAAATTGTTTCATTTAGGAAAACTACCTTCCATTTTAACACTTGTTTCACTAACACCAAACTTTATGTCACCAGTCTTTTGAATTATCACGAAACTTTTCCGTTTAGTTACTCGTTAATACGGAGTAATCCGTGTTATTAAGCTTTGCTTTGACCCATTTATGTAAGTAAATTGAATGCACTTTGTTCATATCTTCTGTTTTTCAGTAAATATTTCCCATATTTTTAGCGTACTTATTTTGAATTCCTGTCTTTGTAATGTGTTGTTCTTGCAGTACATATAATGGTCAGTATATTGTTAACAGGACTGACTTATTCGCTGAAACATACTTCTATTACTTATCAAATAAAGCTGCAAAATGTTGATGAACTATTGTAATGTTCAACAAATTGAGTTTTTCTTGTCCACATCTATTCTAGGTAATCAGAGTGTGGTTACGTCTCAACAGCATAATTTTTCTCCGATCAATAGAGAATTCACATTGGCTCCAGAATTTGAACTAACATATTTTTTGATGTCATTGATAAAAACTTGTATTTATCTAACAGTTTTATTCTCTCAGTTAAAGTAAAAACATATATTTACCGCATAATTTCTGTTTCAATGTTATTGTTTTTTTGTACAGTCGTAGAGGATCACGTACATCACTAACATTATCTTTATCTCCGTCAATTGATTCCCCTACTCCTAGCTATTCTGTAGGATCAGCACAGTTTAGTGTATTTGGTGGCAGTCTTGATGAAGACCCATGCACAGCTGAAGTTTTGTCAGAAGAAAATGAATCTGGTAATAATATTGATTCTGTTAATAATATTAATAACTCGAACATTTTACATAATAATAGTATGAATAGTACTAATAGTAGTAAACAAGTAAACTCCCGGTGTAATTATTCACAATCGTTGAATTCTTTTTCACACACTAAAATTATATCAAAACAAGAACAAAAAAATTTAACGACGACTATTTCACCATTAACATCTTCGTCTAGTACGTGCAATAATGGCATTGTTAATGCTCAACACAATAATTCAATTAATGATGCTCAAATTGGATTAATTAATAAAGGACAATATTTTGTGAATAATCGATGTAATTACATGTGTTTTCATCATCATCATCACCATCACCATCATCGGCATCATTTTCATCATTTTGCTATACATCATTGTAAATTAGACACTGGTTTCCCTTGTTCATTAGGCAATTTAACATGTCAACGTAATCGGGATTTAGAACAATTAATAAATGCTAGCCTACCATTAACGTATGATCAATTGAAAATTAAACTACGTGATAATTCTACAGCATTATTTCAAGAGTTTTGGGATATTCCTATGAATCATGCAGATAAAAAAGAATTGCCTATACCTGGAATTTGTCATAAAAATCGTTATCAATCTATTCTTCCAAGTAAGTATAATTTGTATGGTTATCTTTTAGTAATATATCTTCTGTTCATTGATTATAATTATCGATGGAAAATTAGTCTTTTTGTATTTTTGATAAATATCTGATCGTATTCACTTAATCGCCTATTTATACTGCTAAATGACTGAAATTTAACTTAAAGCGTTTGGGATTTTGTGTGAAGTGCTATAATACTATTAGGTTCTAAATGTTAGTATCTTTAGACATGTATGCAAAATCAGTGTCATCTTAAAGTGTGGATAGAAAATCTGGAGTTGTTAGAGTGTGTTATACAAATAAAACTATGTAACAATTTGTGGTGCATACTAAACTAATAGGCTGTTGATTAAATTTTGTATTTGATTAAAAGTGGTCATCTTATCAAATGCGTTGTGTAGTTCTGAAGAAAACGGAACATTTGTCGATCACTGACGGTATAAATATCCTTCTTGAAGTAGTATCAATCTTTCTAGTAGTGAACAAAACTACTTGAATGTATAAATGATTTGTTTGGAGTGACTGAGTTTTTAGAAAGGTTGTTTTTGGTTGAACTGACCTATTTACGTATCTCGTCGTTTAGAATTATAAACCACTCATGTTTTTCACTATTTTTCATTCATAATCAACGTGAAGCCTGGTAAAATGTTGTGTTGACACAAATTACCACTCTACAATACCAGAAAGAATGTTATCAGAAATCTCATAAATGCAATACGTGACTAGTATGATGCGTACCGAATGAACCACTTAAAATGTCACTACGTTTCATAGTTCTGCTAGTAACGGTTTATTATGTACCTGTTATCAGTAATAAACAATTAGAAAGAATTGACTCTGAGTGAGTCTATTAATCGCTTTCATTAAGTGGTGTTTCAGCATTAGTTACTTTGTCATGTGCACTGTTGGTTAATATGATCAATATATTAAGCCTTGAGTCACATTGATATGATGGCTTAATATAACACTGGATTTTCAAGTTGAAATATATTCTGCAAGGTTTATATCTTTACTCGATTATTGAAAAGTCTTATGCTTAAATCAGTGAACTCCATTAAATGTATACAAATGAGTCTTATACTCAATAGGTTTTCTCAGTTCATCTTTGTTCTAACGTCTCATGTATATTTTTACTGAAGAAACTTAGTGAAATTTATCTTCAAATAAATTATTAATATTAATTGAATTTAAGTAATTGAAAAGTAGTTTAACTTGTTAGTTCCTCAGCTTTTAGTATTTTATGCGCTTTAATAATTGTTCCGTATTCTTCTGTTCTTTTACCATGAATATTTCATTTAATTTCTGTCTTATTTTATTAGACCGATTTATTATATAGTTCCTAGGCTTGGGTTGTTACCTTCATTATTTCCTGTCTTTTCCACTCTCCCATTCACTAAAATGTCATTGGATTTGTTTACATTCATTTTTTTTTTACATTTACGATATGTTGTAATAAAAGACTGAATTGAAAATAACTAGTGTGTAAATATTGTTAGCTAATTATGTGTATAATTATAGACTAACGTGTTTCACAAAAGTTGAGCCCCAAAACTACAAAGGACATTAAAAACGAAGTCGCATTTTTGTTTTTATTTTCAACGGTTAAAATCAATGTCACTCCCGATCCCCGAGACTTTTACAAATATTTTCTCGTACTTGGGATTTTCTTGAATTTACTTAGTAATTTATACTAGGTTTATTTATTTTGTTCTTTTTTACATTTCTTAAATTAATCAATATTCACTTTATACTTATCGGAGCTTTTTCGGTGGTAATAGTACAAATGTATTAATTTAAGGAGACAAAATATTAAGGCGACATTTTATCTTTTCAGCGACTCAATAAATGAATGATTTTTCATTCAAGTTCGTGTGTTAGTATTCTGACTGAAAAAGGAAGTAACGCCTACTCCTTTTCAATCATTAAGTGTTATTTACTGGCTATACTGAGTATTTACAGAATGATATTATCACTCTTATTCTCTAGTTGTTAATATACGGTATTTTATCTGTTGAATAGTCATAACTTTAAAAACATCTAGTTAGTAGTTTGTATTAACTGTAAGTAACTAGTGACGTGATTCACGTTGTTTTTGCTGGAAATATCTGTCTTATTGGCTGTTATTGCTGATAATAATAATAATAATAGTAAAAACTGACTTATCAAGTACTGGTTTATGTACTCGACTTTAAGCAACACTTGCTTTTAAGTGAAATGTGAGTTTTGGCTTTTCCTGTTACCAGCAGAAATATTTAGGTGTTTTCACGAGAAATGGACTTATTCTCATGGATATATCATTTTATTCAGTTTTCTCCATTTCTGTCGCCGAATATAATTCCCATTCAGTAGTAGCACGTTTTCTTATCAGATATTTTTTTCATTTTCACTGTAGGGTAGGAATAAAACTGATTGATTTACCAAATCAAAATTGTAATGTAGGTTATTCCTGCTTGAATAGCTCATCGGTAGTATCTTTGACTGAAATGCAAAGTGATGGGGTTTTGAATTTTTAAAGGAGCATCAGCGATGATAAATGATGATTATTAGTATTCAAAGGTATAATACTTGAATACAGGTCTTTCTACTATGTTATCTTAACCAATTATCATTGAGTTTATCATTTCATTCCCAAATATTCCCATATATTTCTCAGCCTATATTGTTAATGATCTCGTAAAGACGAAGATACGAATTTTGCAAATAATAATATAAAATATTAGAAAAAAGAGTAGACAAGTCACTAGACAATTACTAATGAAACAAAACCATATTCAATAAAATCTTCGGAGTTTAATAACAATCCCTAGATCCAATAATCATTGAAATTAATTTATCTATTAATTTTAACTATTTACCAAATAAATAATATTACAGGATAGTCCATTTACTTACATTAGTATTAAACTGTTATACATTTTCATGATAATTAATGTTGATTGTGAAATATATTTGCACTGACTGTAATAAGAAACCGCATAATTAGCACATTATGTTATTAATGCCCTGAATAAAAAACATCACAGTTACACATATTACTATGGAAATATTCGCTTATCAGACATACAGACTTAAAGTATACATAATGATTTATTAGTCATTAGGATGAATTTGATTGTATATACAAAACGATAGCAGTTTATGCAATTTTTGCAAACTAAGATAATCATTAGGACAACGCTTTTTTTCTGTCCTACCACCAAAAAAAAAGTAAAATAGACTATTCCGAATAGAATTTCGTACAATATTATAGTATATTACGGTCAACAAGAGATTTGTACTTATCCAAGCTCAGAGTACACTAAAATTATGCCTTCATTTGTATATCTTAACTAAGCATTAGAATCAGTTCAGGCATTTTCAATTCGTTAAGGTCCTTTGAAAATGTATTTATTCTTCTTAAACTTAATCTTCCTAATGTATGTAAGTAAATGCAATACACTTATGTAATCTAATATTTTTCAGAATTACTAATTTTTTTTTAGCTTGATTACATCGGTAAATTCAGATTAATAATGTTATTTGATTTGATATAAAGTGGATTATATTGAAAGCTATAGATTAATGCTTTACACACTTAACATTTTTCTGTTAAAAGTCACGAATTGAAATACTGCTTCATTAGTCATAATCCTCATACGTTATACATATAGCTCATATGACGTGGTCTATTAGTGGTTTATCGGTTAAGGGCTTCGGCTCAAGACTGGTAGGTCCTGGGTTCGAATCTCGCGGGAGCGGGTTCGTGGATGCGCACTGCTGAGGAGTCCCATAATAGGACGAAACGGCCGTCCAGTGTTTCCAGGTTTTCCATGGTGGTCTAGCTTCAATTGACTCACGCTTTGCCCCCAAATGCCCTGGTACGGCCGAGAGTGGGGAGAGTCTGCTCTCCCTCTCGAAGTGCTCTCACATGGCCACGCGAATATATAGCCTCTGACAGGGTAGTCCTACTCACTGCCTTCTCGTGGCGGGGGTGTTGTTTACGAAATTGAGAGGACGAAAAGCGAATGTCCGGCGCTTTAACCGGGTTGGTGGACAAGGCGAGTCCACCTAGGGGAGTTGGAAAACCCTGATTCCAAACCAATGGTGCACATGGGCTCCAGTATCCTGATGGAACGAATGGCGTATGAACCTATCATTGGTCACCGACTACCATGGGACTGCATCTTCTCACGATGCTCCACTGCCTTGTGGATCAGACATTCAAGTCAAAGGCTCGGGTTGTGGCCCCCTGAGAAAACCACCTGCTTCAGTCTGGGCATTTGGACAGTATCACAGCCCTTACACAAATCGAATGAGATTTGTGAGGCGCATATTTATTTTGTGCTTCATTGTACCAATATTTATGTGTTTAAATAAAATAATATAAATAAAATATGACGTACTTGGCTATTGAATTTAATTATTTCATTTAAGGCATTATAAAACGTGAGTATGAATTTAATAGAGATAGCTTATTTGTGTTCTACAACTCATTGAATAGTGCTATGCTAAAAAATCTAAAGTCGTACATGTTAATTTAATGATGTTTTTCCTAAACAAAAGAGTAAATCTTTATAATTCACGAGTATGTTTACCACACATTTTTATATTAAACACGTTATTTTTTTGGTTAGTTAACATCACTAGATGATGTATTAGTTAAACAATCACTGAAAACCAAGATGGGCTATGACGATATATTAGATCCTAAATATCATTTGTATAAGAGTCAAGTCAGTCACTGAGTCATATGCAACTGAGAACATAGCATATATGTACATCAGTTCAAGGTGTCAAACTCTATTAGCCACAGCTAGATAAAACTGTCAGGGGAAATCCTAGGGTAGTATAATTAGTAACAGTATTAATGATAATGGAAATAAATGATGCATCGAACATATGATTCGAGAAGAAAATATGGATTGGTGGGATAAAAAAGATTTATAAAGTAACTCAGAAACCTACGGTCCAAGGAAGAAGCATATAGTGAATGCACCTGCAACATTACAAACGATCCTGAGCTACCT